CAGGTCTCACTTCAGATGTTCTGTGGGGTTTAAGTCTGGGCTTTGGCTGGGCCACTAAGACTATTAGAGACTTGTCCTGTAGCCACGGAGAAGCACAACCCCAGCATGATGCCGTTACTACCATGCTTCACCATAGGGATGGTATTAGCCAGGTGATGAGCGGTGGCTGGTGTCTGACATTCTATCATAAAGACCTGATTGATGGTCGTCCTTCCAGTCGGTTTTCCATCTCTGTGGAGAACTTCTGAAACTCTGTTAGAGTGGCTGTTGGATTCTTGACCGAGGCCCTTCCCGCCCAGGTACTGAGTTTGGCTGGACGGCCAACTTCCAAACTTCTTCCATTTCACAATTATTGAGGCCACGGCGCTCCTGGGAACACTCAAAGCTTTAGAAATAGTTTCATAGCCTTGTCCTGATCTATGCCTCACCACAGTTTTATCACAGGCCTGCAGAGAGTTCCTCAAACTTCATCACTTGGTTTTTGTCCTGACCTGCAGTGTGAATTGTGGGACCGTTTATACACAGGTATTTGCCTTTCTAAACTCTGTCCAATCAGCTCAGTTTGCCACAGATGGACTCTCGTCAAGTTCTCGACACTCGTCAAGGATAATGAAAGCAAAAAGGATGCAGCTGACCACAGTGCGGAGTCCAGAGCAAAAGGTCTGAATACATTCTAAATTAGAGGTTTTAGTTTTTGTTTCTTTACAAAAGATTCAAAATTTCTAAAAGCATGTTTTCACTTTGTCACAAAAAACTGGAAAAGGAGGTGGTCATTTTTTTCATTTAAAAATTGATCTACAACATGATAATGTGTGCAAGAAGAGAAAGGGTTTCAACACTTTCTGAAGCCACTGAATATTTAAATTTGTGACAAAAATAAAAATCCCCCGCTGGCTCACCCTGTCACCTCACTGCCTCATTTTGCCACCGGTGGTCTTGCACTAGATTGAAATTCTGATGACCAATCTGTGAGTCAGTTGTTTCCGTCTGGCTAAAATCAAAATGCTGTCGTGATTTTACATTTAATTTAACCAGAGCAATGTCTCTTTTAAAAATATTTATTTGAAAAACAGCTTCTTTAGGAAGTCTTGTATTGGATTCAAATGATCTCCTATTCTCTTCTCTCTTACAACTGAGAAATCGTTTTTCTTTCTGTGCAGACAGGATTCATTTAGTGTTTATCAGGCTGTAGATATCAAACATATCTGATTTTGTCCTGTTGGTTTAGATCTGTCACAGATTTGAGATTTAGGTCTGCATACATATTTCAGGCAGAAATAATGTAGCTAGCTCAGTTAAACATCAATGCACAGAGCTGAAGGGCAAAATGGTTCCTTAAAATTACATTTATATACAAAAACATAAAACTATCTAAATGTATGCTTTTTTTTATCAGCATAATGATCAAAAATTTATACTGAACATATCTGCTATCTGTTCAGTGCTAACATAAAATGTTGATACTGAACTTAACTGGAAAAATAGGTTGAGTTGTTTAGGCGTATTCCACTCTGCAATTATGTGTCCTTGAAATGTAACTGGCAAAGCAAATTCATAACTGATTGTGTATAATTCTTTTATAATTGCTGTAGAACGCCATGATATTGGTAGCTTGATTGTTTGCATGACTCACAAAGCTTCATAGGAAATCTCTGTGGTATGGCTTGCTAAAGAGCAATTAACTTAATTATTTCTTTGCTTTGGTATTTTTGGACTTTGTACCACTGAAGCTGGCTGTGGGAGACCTAATATTAATATGTTGTTACCAGATACATACATTGCCATTTTTTGGCGTCTTGTTAAAATTAGTCACCATCCTGTCCTTATGGAAATCTTAGCTTGTGAGGGACACCTAATATCTAGTGACACCTAGTGACATCATAACATAACTAGTGTATTTGCATATAAAGAAAAGTTTCAAAAGTTAAGTCAAACTAGACATAAGTTCTCATAACTAGCTTGATTGTCAACTATTGTTATTTCTAAAGATGCAATCATCACTTCAATATACATATAAATCTACCTGGGGCTATAGGGGTATCAGAAACAGAGAGGATCCAAGTGCTAGAATGAAAACACTATTAAAATCTGTGTAACTGGAGAATTTGAGTCTCGAAAGCTGCCAGATCTAGCGAGAAAATTGCCAAACTGGCAACATTAGGTAAGCATTACCTGTTAAACATCAGCATGTTAGTATTCAGTTCAAGTACAACCTCACAGAGCCGCTATCATGGCTGTAGACCAATAGGACTATTTTTCACTACATAACAACCCTGTCTTTAAGAAATGATTGTAGAAATATAGCTTCAGTCTACAGATGAGTCTCTGTGTTGACTGGCCTGAATGTTTACAGCACTCACACTACAAATTGAAGGTAGAGTGAGCGATTCTAATCCAACACACTTTTTGTCAAATTCAGTGAATATTTCCTCACGCTCAGTAGCAGGAGAGCTGTGAGTATCACTGTCTGTAGGTAACTGTCTCATCTTCTCTGCATGTAAGCATTTCGCAAACTGTCGCCACTGTTTGCGGTCTCATTGTTTGCTGTAGCTGTATAATGGAACTTATGTTTACTATGTGCAAAAGGTTTTATAGGCAGTAAGACCTAAAAACACAATTTTGCTAGCACATTGGATTTATTGCATTAATTGCATTAATGCATAATAGGGATAGGCATTTTCAGTAATTTCAATATTCGAGTACTCTAAATACCTTATGAACAAGTACTCGATTACTCGCAAATTAAAAAAAAAAAAAAAAAAATTATATATAATATATAATATATTATATATATATATTTTTTTTTTTTAACCATAAAAAAGAAATACAGAAACACAAGCGGAATGTTAAGCTTGTGTTTCCAGTCGGACAGCACACATGATATGCAAGTTTAACGCCACATATATTGAACTGTTATTGTCATCTTTTTTCATCAAAGTATTTCCTCACATCACTCTCCCTAGTCACGGCTGCCATGGTGCACATAACGCTACCTGAGATGAGCTAATGTAGCCAAAAACAACACATGCGCAGGTGCACGAGTAGTGAAACTCTACCCGAATAATGACGTAAACAACAAGTACTCGAGTACTCGTACCCATCCCTAATGCATAACTCAAAATACTATGCCACATGCCAAGTACTTCCCTTGTTAGCTTAGCTACAAACCTGCGGTCCTCTCCTCTGTCACTGAAGTTTTGTAAAAATAATATAAACATCTTCCACTCTGTTGTGTTTTAGATATTGTGTTTGTGTGCATGTCATTTGTTTGATGCTGTTTTATATTAGGAAGTTTGTTTTGCATCAGCTATGAGAAAGAGTATCCACTTCCACATTGTATAAGACGTTCTGGATTCCGGCATAGTATTGTTGCCTTGGCAATGCATGTCCATGAATGTTGGGAGGCGGAGCTTTTGAAGGAGCACTGAAGTGAGGGGTGAATTTTGTTTTGCTGTTGGGTTCAAATATCAATTGATTTTTCTGCAGAATCACTTACTCCACCTTTAAGAGAACAAGCTTCACCCTTCTAGAACAACAAAGTCCATCTCTGTTTATACGTGTAGGGTAAAAACACATTTCTTCAAGTAGTACCTCAATTCACCTTCTCCCCCTGAATCACACAGTGCACTGAGTCATATTGCCTCTCTCACTGCTGCTTCCTCTAGTCACTTTATTTTGCATCATAAATCCCCTCTTCTTTTTTTTATTCATTGTATTTTTCTCTATGCATCACTTCTCTCTCAGCCCACTGGTACAGGGATATTGTCAGGGCACTATGGATCTGTCCCTCACAATCCTTATTATTGGTTGTCTGTAATGCTAATGAGGCAGGAATGTAAGCTAATTCAAGTCATTTAAGTCACTCTGGATATCAGCAACGGATAAATGTCTAGTATGCTAATGTTGGTGACATGCTGCAATACTACAAAGTGCCTTAAAAAGAACTTGCATTGAAATATGTCATCAGAAAACAAAATTGAAAGGAAAAAATGGGTAAAAACAGTAAATTAAATAGCATGGCATCCACTAACACCATTACTAAATGAAATGCTATCATTGTATAATTTTTTGGAGTTTTTGGCAGCATGTTTTCATCTTTGACAAGTCAGCCAAGTATTACTAACTTTTGACATCAGTGTTTCCAACAGATTGATGTATTTGTGCTAGCCCACCACAATATCGCAATATCAACATTGACCACCACATATTGATTTTCTTCTTTTTTTTACTCAAAAGGTCCATATTTTACACTTTTCCTTTGTTTTATTTGAAGTGTTGATCCATAAGAAGATATATTTGTGGTTTTAAGAACCAAAAACCATCTCAATGTAGTTTTACATCTCCTCTCTCAGGCTTCTCTCTGGAGCTCTAGTAACAACAGGTCAGTGAGCCAATCAGAAGAGAGGAGGTTCTGAGCCTCTCTTCTGATTTGGCTCACTGAGTTATTGAGTTATCCAATAAAAATATAGCAGATTTCAGGTAAACACTCAGAGAAACAAAATCCTCCAAGGTTGGATGGTGGGTCCAGGTGAGCGGGGCTTAGGGCATGGCTGAGAGCTGTGACTGCTTTGTTGTGACATCACAAAGTTAAAGAAGTCCTGATGGCTGGTTTTAAAGCTCAGTTTCTGAAAGAATCAGGCTTTGTGCATTTCTCTGTGGACTGAGCACTTTGATTTTATTAATATAGAACCTAGACCTGATGTATTATCAATAAACACATGAGAATCTCACTTTATACAATATGGGACCTTTAAATGTTTACCATCCCTATCTGTCTCTCTGTGGTACAATATGAAATCCACCCCCACCGACCGCACCGAACGAGTTGGTGCAGTAATGATTGTTTTTTGTTTGACACACAGCTATCACCAAAAATGGAATGCAGTTCTCTGGGAAACACTGGCCTCCTTCAGAAAAACAACTTCTGTATTTTTAAAACTCCATCCACAAAGTTGTACTAATTATGTGCAGAAACTGTGCAAAGTTTAAGTGGAACTGACTTGGGCAGAGTGCGTTGCAGGTGATCTTCTGTACGGACATGCCCTCGCAGAAAGCCCCGCCGTTCAGAGGAGCTGGGTTAGTACAGGTTCGTGATCGCTTCTGGACACCCCGCCCACACGGCACATTACAGGGCGACCACTCCGTCCACAGGGACCAGCCGCCGTTCACTGCAAAGAGTTCAGCAAAGTTAGAGAAGAAGAAGAAGAAGAAGAAGAAGAAGAAGAAGAGGTAAAGTGAGTGCAACAAAAACACGTATTACTTTTCCAGAAGTCTGTGTTGAAGACTCTTACAAGAGCCAGGGTTATTAATGATTATGCAGGCTCTGAGGCACAACAAGGCAACAATGCATAACGGCTGGAGCAGATTGAGAACGGCACATTCATTGTGGTGGATATACAACTCCCTCTTTCCTAATTGCCAGTTCAATGTTCCTTGCTCTTGGATTAAGATAAAGGCGTGGAACTGTGAGAAAGCAAAGAAAACAGCCATTAAACAGAATTGCCATTTCTAAAGGCGACACTGACTCATAGTGGCCGACAGGTTGGAATCGACCACTTAGCGTCTGACTGGAGCAGTTTACTCTATGATGATCTCTGTCTAACGTGTGTGGAAGCTAAATGTTTAGTAGTGCTATCAAAGCTGGTGAACCCGCTTTGCTGGAAGGCCTCTGGCAAATAAATACTTAATAAGCAACACTCCTTTTAAATGAGATTAAGACACAGTGGCTTATTTCCTTTCATAAAGTACACATTGATTTTAAATGAGAGGCAGTAAATTGAGTCTTTGAATAATACATTCATCGAAATAAAGAGGAAACATCGCTCTTCAGTGGAAACATGGAGATGGGTCTCTTAATCACTTGTGTAGGGGTGCAGGAAACCAAACAAATCGATCTGAAGTGCTATGTAAACATCGTGTCACTGCACTGTAATGTGTTGTAACAGGCAATAACAGCAGCTGGGAGGACAGCGTACCAAAGACTATGACAGTGGCGGTGGCGCTGCGTCTCTTTGCCACGATGTTGCTGGCCAGACAGGTGTAGTTGCCAGAGTCAGACAGACGCGCCTCGTTGATGATGAGGTTGTGGTCGGCTCGCGTGTCGATGTTGTCGTCGGTCAGGGAGCTCACCAGCTCTTCGTTTTTTAGCCATTCCACCTGCGCACGAGAGGTCATAAAGGACACAGAGATGAGAAATGCAACAAAACATTTTATCTCTATTAAAGAAATAAAACTCTACTCAAGTATTAATTATTGAAATACTTGTATTCACATCTTTAGGCTCTAAGAACATCATAATCTTAGACTGCGTCTACACAGGAAGTGCAGTGTGAGCAGTATGTTAGCAGAGGAGCTTCAGGACTCCATGTGTTTACACACAGGATGAACTCAGGCGCAGCATTGAGTTGTAGGTCACCAGCATTTTGGCAGTGCTCAGAACTCAATACACAAACACTGTTATCCATGTAAAATGGAAGAAAATAGATTTGAAAAACAAAAATACGCTTCAGGCCTGGTTCGTGAGCGTAAAGCACGTGGCTGTGTAGACAACTGGATTGATTAAAATAGGGGCAGATGCATGTGAAGCTGACAACTGAAAAACGTGGTTGAGTCGCTTTCTGTGAAGAATCCCTGTTATAACTGCAGTATGACAAGTGCAACACACAGCAGCCTCTTCACTTAACATGTCATTTGTTGCTAGAGACAAATGAAGTAGCCGGGGGAAAGTAGCTGGGATTTGCTGATTTGGGGAGAGAATGTGCTAAAACTGCTGATGGAACATTGGGTGTAGTATTTTTCATGTGCTTCATATACTGCGTGTGTGTGATGCCCTCAAGTTTGGTGTCATGCTTGGACACGGTTGGGAATATGTCAATCTGTCATGTTACATAAATTCACATTCGTGTAAATGAGCTAAATCAATAAAGTTACAAAACAATAGAGTCTTATATAATATGACAACAATGGACAGTCAGATGTAGCAACAACGAAAGCAATAACATAACATAAAACATAATGTTACAATGCTGCCTTTTGTAGTATATGACAGCTCTATTCTGACCAAGCTCCACTTTTACCATCATCTTCTTTCCTACAGCCGTAGAATTAAAGTGCATAGCTAGGTCCAGGTTAGCACTGTTGGCGATGTGTTCACAAGGACACATTATAATTTCACCTCCTCTTGTTTTATCACAAAAATGTAGAGATTTCTTTTTAATTTATTATTAATTTCTTTTTTAAATATTTTTACATTTAAACTCCATTAAAGTCACTTCTTTTTTCTTCAACAAGACTGTATGGAGATTTAGTCAGTTATTGCTTAATGACATCAGTTTCATCGCACCAATGTCTGGTTTTCTACATGGGGAAAAGAGTACAAATATTAAGCAATTATATATATATATATTTCTGTAACAACAATAATCGCACCCTCCTCGTGCAGTGATTGGCCAGGTGTGCGAAACGTCAAAGTAAAGCACGAATTAACCATCTCTCTCAAGCTCACGTTTGCAGAATTCTTCACACAACCGTCCTTTACAGCAGCACAAACGCCTTCGAGGAGACTGTTCAAAGATGTGTGCAGTTATCACCATGTGCATTAAGATTACAAACGCACACAAAAGACACAAAAACACTGGAGAGAGATCAGGGAAGTAGTTGGTAGTGTTATGCAGCCAAGAGGAGGCTATTACAGCAGGATGTTTGCATTTGACTAATTCCTTTCAGAACAAGTATAAACACTTTCACCTTTAGATGTGGTCAGACATCATTTAACCGAGTTCATTTCAATTCAAGTCTCCTGTTCTCACAAGATGCAGATCTCATATTTGGATTAATTCTCCTCGAAACTGTACAATGGCACAGAGAAATGCTGGTCAAGGCTGTAAGTCCCACCCTGCTGTATAACCACAGTTAGGCAGCATCACCACCGACAGTAAATTAGTCAGTCAAAAGAAGCACTATAACCAATTACCAGCAACAGAGAGGAAAACTAATTATGAATTACAAACTTAGAGACGCTTTACTGCTCCTACCCTGGTAAGGGAGCTGCATCGCTGCGTTTGCAAATTACATTCATAGTGTGGCAGAATGGGCCAAGCTGATGGATTTATAGGAAGCGCACAGGCGCTCTTTATAATAAACAACACTCAGGCTGGATGCAAATAGGAAGTGCCTTTGGGCATGCAAACACTGGGTAAATAGAAAATGACACACAGACCCGAAGGATGATGGATTGCAGGTATATATTGACACGAATAAAAATGATAATAAACATCATAACACAGTAATCACTTCTCACATTCAGTATTTTTTCACACCAACTGAGTCAATTGCACGACTCTCAGCAGAGGTGGAATTTTTTCTTTTTTGGATGAGAGGAGTACAGTACAAATACGGCAATGGAAGCCTCTATTTTCCCCCGTATGCCTTGAAGAAAACTTGGAAGCCGATCTTCAAAGGCTCCCGGATTCTTCTCTACAATTAAAAGATAGCCTCTTGTGTGTGTGGGTTTCATCAGAGGTAAAGCGCTTAGCATCTCTGATAGATAAGAAAATAGAGAGACAGAGGACTGGGGGATACAGTCTAATTTCTCATGATTAGAGTCATCTATCACTGAATGGGTGACACAAGTAGTGGCACCCCAACACCACAACCAACCCCCCACCTCCACCTCCATCTCCACCCCCACCTTCCGACTCTTTATGTATTTATTTCAATTTCATCCTGGGAAATTTGTGACTTTAAAGAGGCAATTAACGTGTGACACGAGCCGGCCCTCACAGTGTTTGGGGCCACGCTGCACATTAGCTGTCTGTCTGCCGCTAACAGCCCGTGGGTAATGATGAAAAGATTCACCAAGCAGAAGGGGAGAGAGGGAGAGAGAGAGAGAGACAGAGAGAGAGAGAGAGAGATACAAAGAGAAACAGAGACAAGGGGGGGGGGGGGGAGAAGATGAAGGGACAAACACAAATTAGCCCGGCAAGTGTGGTGGCAGAGGATGTGAGAAATGAATTGCCTAATTGGCACATTTGTTTCAATTAGGATGCGGTCATCAGTGTCAGCCTTGACGGAGGGGTTTCCAGGCGGGGCAGCACATCAGGACATCCTCCCTGTGATTTCATTACCTGGACCACCCCTGAAGGTCACCTCCTCCAGCCCCGCACAGCGGCCAGGTCCTCTCATCTACTTAAACACACACACATGCACACAGCTCATCCAGATGACATTTGCTGATGATTACATGCTGAGAAATGTGGTGGTTGAGGGGCAATTAGAGGACAGAAGAGCAATGTAATGGGTGACACCGCAGCCATCAGCAAAGACTTATGAGGAGAGCGCTGATCAAGACCTTGCCACATGACACATTTTCCCCTGCGCTGGTGTGCCTCATCAACGCACCCCTAGGTCGAATGGTCATTTGATGTCAAGGTGACGCAGTACAAACGGTGTGCTTCAGTGTTATAAGGAGAACAATCCATCTGCTGACTCATGCTTAGATGCCGCAATTTAGCATGATCTCCTCCCCCTTTGGGCAACTCTCTGCCGCCTGTGGCGAAGCCAGCGTCGGCAGCAGAACTTTTTAATTGCAGAGTATCTCATCAACGCAATAGCATGGATTAAGCGCCTCCGTCAGGTGCACCCCTGGGGACCAAGGGGGGACGCCAGCGGGACCCGCTGAGCAGCTTATCAGAAGCGACACCTCTGAGCATGTAGCTAATCCACTTCACAGATTCTCCCAACAACCAATCAGCATCACATGTAAAGAAAGGCGCGCTGGTGGCACGCACACATACACACAAGGATACCTGCGGACTCTTTGAACTCAGCATGGCTCGGCGTGTTCGTACGAACGGCAAGCCTGACAGCAGCAGGTAGAGCTGAAGGGAGCTATCTGCGGCTCAGCTGTGCTCTCCCGCTCCGGAGGTTAATCAGAAAAGATACGGGGAGAAACACAAAGTGGGTCTGTGTCGCCCGTCCGCCTCCCCCGTTGCTTCCCAAATGCCACCTCTCCTCCCCTCCGAGCTATGTGGCACTGCATTACTATTCCACCCCGAACTGTCTTATCTTAACGAAAGAAATAGAGGCAGCTCCCGGCTTCGGCCTGGGCTGGGGTTGGATGTAATTGCCTGGCTTAATAATGAAGCTCATCATATGCTCTCTAGGAGACTTTCTCTGACCTATGAGAAAATAACAGAGGCGCTCGGCGGCGGGACCGGATACTAGAAACAAGTGCGGAGAAGGCGAGAGGTGGGACGGAGTTAAATGCTAACTTGTTTTGGAGCAGCATCGCAATGTCTTTGTGAAGCTCAACAGAGAACAGCTTGTATCACAGTGCAGAAGCATTTAGTTGATTCCCCTTTGTGCCGTAGCCTGGGCTGTCTACCTGAGCTACTGTAGATCAAGGGGATTCATCTCGGATTAAAGGCTTTCATTCAGGGAAGTTGAAATTGGCTTCCAGTTTGGCTGTTCATTTCACACTTTCTCTCAGAGTAACCTCTCAAAAGAAACTCATTATACAGGGTTCTCATGGACTCCTTTCTCCCCAAGTTAAAAGATCTGCTCTGCATTCACACCCACTGATATCTGTGAAGTAAAAGTGGAGGATTGGTTTTGGCTCGGGAGCACCGAAACGAAATCACAAATAAGCTGCTCCTACGTTCTATTAACCATGGGTAAATTATAGTCTCTGCTCTTTGGATATGATGAATGAAGGTATTTTTGTAGCAAAACACTCGAGAATTTGCATGTTGCAATTTACACTTGCAAACAATACTCGCATATGTATGTCCTGGTATTTTTCTGTTGTTTAACTTGAATGCAAGGGATTTCTGGGCGTTAAAGTCTGACTCAGTTTTCCTCACAAAGAAATGTTTTGTAAATGCTGGGAGTCAATAACTATTGATGTGACAGCATTTCAACTAGTCTAGAAATTAAACACTTTCATTGTCTCTATGATTGTGATATGGATGTTTACTTTCCAACCACATTCGATAAAGTTTTAGCGGATTCATTCAATTCAAATACTTTCTGCTGCAACATTTCAGATTCCATTAAGCAATAAGTGACTGCAAAGAGCTGCAGCACAAAGATACACACCATACATTTTCTGGAAATGGAAACATATATCTGATTTTTGTTAGTTTAAGTTACAAAAG